AAAATAAAGAAATATATATATATATATATATATATATATATATATATATATACATTTATATACCTTACTGACTCTATGTGTACTATGTGTCATGTTAATGTCTTGTCTAAAAAGATGGATCCTTTTTTAACTATATACATAAAGTTATTTGGTGCAAAATTGATGGCCCTAAAATATTTCTTTAAAGTCAACATTAAATGACTTTCCCAATAATAACAATAAAACCAATAATATTCAGTAAGAAAGTCTATTTCATGTTGACTGAAACTGCATTTATGATTTAGCTCACATGTTTTCATGGCATTGTCGAAAGCTCATTTTCAGGCGTTTTATCCTGGTGTGACACTGCTCTGCTGTTCTGGTAAAGCCTCTCTCGAACATCTTCTTAGAGATGAGGTTGAATATGTGTCGGTTGCGGGCGCAGTCTTTTAGACTCCGCTGGACGCCGTCTTTTCCCCATATGTCAATGAGGCAGAGAGTTTCCTCCTCTGACCAAGGGACTTTTGAAGCATCAGAGGTCTGGTAGGAAGACTCTTCTGAGTAAATAAAGCAGAAAAGAGTTTAAATCTGCTCAGTTGCTTATATTATAGTAAGTAATCAAAACAAATATAATTACAATGAACTGACCTGTGTATGCACCCAAATGATCGATAAATGTGAACTCTCTGGACACGTCTCTTTTCCTTTTAAAGGATTTTTTGGAGGTTTTTTTGGTGTGTGTCTGATTCAGCTCTTCACCAAGAGAGCAATCAACGTAACCGTTAATCTTTCTACTAGATCCGGCACCTGTGATTGGCCAGTTCTGATCATCATCATCCTCTTCATCCTCTCTCTCCTCTATCTCTACTTTTAATTTTCTCTTTTTAGCCATCCAGCCGAGCGTGTCGGGATCAGACACGTTTTTTGAAGTGTGGCATTCATCTTTGTCTTGACCATCTAAATCGTCTACTGATTCAGACGGGTCACCAGATTCTGAGTGATTGCTGGAAATGACGGCTCGAACCAGTGGAGGAAGAGACTGAGATGAAAATGTACAGCTGTTATAAGCAGAGTGAACATACTCTGCAACAGAGAAAGTAAAATAGACAAAAAGACTAATTAAACATCAAATTAAAGATCATCCTTACAAACATTTGTCAGATGCTTGTGGGGAGAATAATTAATTGAAGGTGTTTGTGTAGCATAATGTTATTTTCTGCTAGTTTAATTAAGTAAATGTTAATTTGATTATTTTTTAATTGCATTTTTTAATGTGCACTTATGTTGCATATTTAAAAGAGTTTCTGTTGTTGAAGTTTTTGTGGTTACCATTTTGCTGAAGAGTACTTAGGTTGTGGTTAAGTTGCAGAAAAGTTATAAATGATGACAACTAGGAAATGTTATTATAGATTATGGACTGGTATTTTGGCCAGATGCAATGGTTTAAACTTAAAAACGTCATAATAATGGAAGTGTTTCTAACAAACGCACAGCTTTCCACTTTTCAAGACTTTGATGAACTGGAGTGGTGTGGATTACTTGTGGATTATTGTGATGTTTTTAATCAGCTGTTTGGACTCTCATTCTGACGGCACCCATTCACTGCAGAGGATCCATTGGTGAGCAAGTGATGAAATGCTAAATTTCTCCAAATCTGTTCCCATGAAGAAACAAACTCATCTACATCTTGGATTGGATTTCATTTTTGGGTGAACTATATATTTAAGACCTCCCAAATGCTTATGCTTAGTGAAACTATCCCTTTGTAATTTGGATTTTGTTGGTGAAACTGTTCTTTTGTCATTTTGATTGTATAAGCCATCTTAACAAACAAGGACTGAGAGAGTCAAAACTGCATCTTGTATTCACACAACATAGAAGCATCTAAAATAGCTTTTCACATGGATATGGTGTAATTTAAGGTTAAAAACTGCTACCATTGTCCTGAAGATTTCCATTAGATCTGTGATGTTCAAGAAGGGTCTTCATCTGCTTTGGGACTGAAACTGAATGAAGGCATTGCTCCAGAAGCGACGGGCAGGTCCTGAGCCAAGAGACGGTCTGAGGAACACAACCAGACCAACGGTAGCATTAGTAATACAATAATAGTGTTCAGGTGCTTTACATATTTATTGACATACCTGTGAAAGTTCTGGGACTGACATCATCCAATCAAACTGCAAGAGGAAGTCTTCCATAAGTGTCTGTATGTTTTTGTCAAACTTGGGGCCGTATTCTTCTGGGAAAATGTTCTATTAATTACACAGGGTTGGGGAAAAAGTTAATTCATTTCATGGCACAGAAACAAAAACAGAAAAACCAAATGCTGTGAGCATGTTTATGTGTTTGTAACCTGGAAGAAATTCTCTCTCTCTTCAGGGCTGCTGATAAGGGTCCGAATGAGGTCCAAGAAACAGGCCTCAGATTCCTCCATGTCTTCATCAACCACCTGTAATGTATAAAGTCTATTAAATATGTGCTTAAATTTTAATTCAAGCACAAATGTGATGTTTCAAAAACCTCCAAATGGGTTCTAAACATGACTTGACCTCATTGATTGCACTGATGACACGAGGAGCATGGATTCGATCCAGGTGAGGCTGAATATCTTCCAGGTCAACCTGATATTTACCACGACACAACTCCAAAAGACGCTGTGAAAAATAAAGAGATATAATACCGAAACCAACAATCTCGTGGAAAGCCCAATCTTTAACATGGTGGTTCCTAAATATTAGCTGTTTTCATGTACCGTGATGTTTCTTACCCTTGCTCTTAAGCCAAATATCAGCTGAGTTCTTTGATTGTAATTCAGAAACTCTGGCAGAGTCTCTGTCACCATGGTTACAAACTCCTCCAGCATCCCATAGTGCTTTACCTGTCTCTGTTCAATCACCTGCCACATGGCTGCAGACAGTAACCTTGATGGTGGAATGATGAAACTCATCAATGAAAGAGGGTCTGATAATTAAAAACAAGACAAATAGGAAAAACGTGCAATGAGAGGCAGCATATGCTTTTCATATTAAACAGCTTTGACCTTATAGTCTGGATTTAAATAACTTGTAATTGCATATCTTGTAATTGCATTTTGTTTTGAAAATTCTTAAAATTTAAATGAATCAAAATACATTATTAGAACATCAGATGTGCTTTCATTTAAAAGGAAGTTACGTGATAATCGTGCAAATGAAAATTACTTGAATTCATTAAATTGCTTACACTTTAACATGCTGATTTGTTGTGTTGTATTTTACAAAAAGGGGAAAACAGACAGGAAAAACAAATTACTCACCTTCGATTTTCTTGGTCCAAAGCGCTTCCATTGTTTACAACTTAACTCAAGTTTAAACAATCTCGAAATTAATATTTTCAACAGCTGTGTGTCATAATTCAGAAGAAAAGCGCTATTAGAAGGGACACTTTTTAATTTCGACGCGCTTTCCACCTGACCATTTCCTTCGTTTCAAAACACTGGACTGAACGACACAGATTCCGGTCTAATCCGCTTTGGTCTGGTCTACAGTGTAATTCGAGTTCTCCCTCTGGTGGTGCAAAACCACATTATACTAGTTTTGCGAGACCATCTCGCAAACTCAGCTCCCAAACCATTCTTTCCGTTCGCTGTTGTTTTATATGCGTTTTACTGTTAATGTGGTTTAATCTAGACTGGTCTGGGGCAGGAGGTCCAGACACAATTATGGATTTATGTTCGTGTTTTAGAAATTGGTAAAATTGAGTCGACTTTTATTATGAAGGATGTGGCCGTGGTTTTAGCTCATGAATATTTAATTTGTTCATGCCAACGTTGCTTTGGTAACCTTCCGGGAGTTTCGATCACGTGTCCTTATTAATATTCATAACGCACCATACCAACGCCTGCCATTGGCGAACGTCGCGTTACGTAAATGACGCTCATGAGTCTTCGCCGTATCATTAAAATTTCGCTGTCTGCAATTGAAATACTTATTTAAATGTAAAATAAATGTAATGAAAAGATTATTGTCTAGCATTTTCGTACTTCTTATGAGCAGTTTGGACAATAGTATCAGGTTACAGACGAAACTGTTTTTCACCTGCTTCTTTTAAAATGTGTACAAAAGCATTTAACATACATAAAAACATAAGTCAGCTTCATTTTCATTTGTACATTAATAATTTAACCATTGTATATACTTAAAACATGTTTGTTACTAAGAATTATACTGTTTTTCACCTGCTTCTTTTAAAATGTGTACAAAAGCATTTAACATACATAAAAACATAAGTCAGCTTCATTTTCATTTGTACATTAATAATTTAACCATTGTATATACTTAAAACATGTTTGTTACTAAGAATTATATGGTGTAAAAAAAAAAAAAAAAAAGACCAGAGCTAAGTTACTTCTTTTTTTATAAACTACTTTATTTCAAAACCTGAAAAATGGCTACAGAAAGACAGACAATGGGGAAAAAAAGCAAATAAGCACAATCACTGGTCTTTTGAAACTAATGTGGCATATGTAACATTTAACTACCACTAACATCATTAAATCGAGAGTACTGTAGAATCCAAAGGTTAAAATAGCACCAAAGACAAAATCCAAAGAACTATAACTTCAAATCAGATATATCTTTGCAGGTCAAGGTATTTTACAAGCTTCAAAACATTTAGCTATAATCAACACTGAGACAATGTTTATTATAGTAGTTTGGCAGGGTTTGTCATTTAGATAACAGTCTGCGATTTTTTTAAACTGCAAATATAAAATGGGATGAGAGCTCAAATTAATGATTTTTTTGTGATATTTTAGTGTCAAAACCTGATTTCAGGTGACCAATAACAGCAGACTTAACCAAAGCTGCAAAACTACAAAACAACTTAACTAGAATTTCTTTCAATACGTGTCTGCACCACACATATTCCTATATGTGGACCTCTATTTGGTTTATAGAGAGGAAATACTAATCTAGGACTAACAGGACTAGACCCTTCTGTGTCTATGCAGATATATATGGAACTGAAACCTGATCTACATGGCCAAATACAGGGTAATAGGACAGTGGTCACTTCCCATGGCCGTATTTCGGATCTTGCTGTCACACAGACCCGGGAGTAAGGCAGACGACAGCAAAAAGTAGTCCAAACGCCAGCCGACGTTTTTGGCTCGTGCGTTCATCATGTAGGTCCAGAAGGTGTAGGCATTGGCTTGTTCTGGATACAGCTCCCGAAAACTGTCGGTAAAACCGACCTCGAGAAGTTCGGTGAAGCCCTCACGTTCCTCGGGGGTGAAGCCTGCGTTCTTGCGGTTACCCTTGGGGTTTTTGAGATCAATCTCTTGGTGGGCCACATTCAGATCTCCACACAGCACCAGGGGCTTGCGCTTGTCCAAGTCGCTCAGGTAGGCACGGAAATCCACGTCCCAGGTCTTGCGGTAGTCGAGCCGCACCAGACCACGGCTGGCATTGGGCACATATGCCGTGACCAGGAAGAAAGACGGAAACTCAGCAGTGATAACTCGGCCCTCTTTATCATGTTCCTCTTTACCTATATTGAAGCAGAAAGAGATTTTAAACTTCCAGAAAATTCAAGATTTGGATTTTGGACAGAGGGAAAAAAATTAGATGATATTTAAAATCAAATATATTTTCATGTTTTATATTTTTATTGCGGTGCGTGTCCATAAAAAAAGAATAGCAACTGATGAACAGAACAAATCAATTCAATATGACTGTAATAATAACAAAAGTATTATTTAAATAAGAATTAAATCAAAGAAGAAATATTACTATTGTACTGTAAAATAAAAAAAATAATAACAATAATAATAACTGATACACATTACAAAAAGATTTTTTTTTTCTCCCCATTCAATATGGCCATATTTTAATAACATTATTATTAGCAGTAGTAGTATGTCAATTAAGAATTAAATAAAAAAAGGAATACACTACTACCACAAAAAGTATTTACTACTACTACTGCTACTATTATTATTGTATTGCTACTACTGCTGTTATTAATATTTAAATTACAAGAATGAAATCAAAGAAATACATGACTTGCAATACTACTATTGTACTGTAAAATAAAACAAGTATTTACTACTACTAGTAATAATAATAATATCAATAAGATTATTATAATTAAATTAAATGATAAAAAATAATAATCAAACATTTAAAACATTAAACCATAGTGCTTTTATTTTAGGGAGACCTGCTGTCAAAAGATTTATAAACAATTCTCATTACAAATTTGGAAAGATGGTTGTGTGCATTGTGTTTTCAAATGCACACTATAAGCAAAACAATCTCATTGTGAATATGCAATTCACATGGGTCATACAATATTGAAATCTGTATAAATACACTTACCAATACCGTAGGTGACATTGAGCGGTTCAGTCTTGCAGAGCATGGCCACTCCGCTGTAACCTTCCTTACCCTCTGATCCAGCCCAGTACTTGTGCGGATACTCAGGCATGTCAGTGATCTCAGATGGCAGGGCTTTCTCAGCACACTTTGTTTCCTGCAGACAAAGCACGTCTGGATCCTCCTTACGCACCCACTGCGAACAGACAACAAAAGAGTGGAAAAGGGTTCGTACCTCTACCAATCTGACTCACACATAAATACTAAATAAAGACACAGAGACTGGTCAAACTGTTCAAGAAGGACCATGCAGTACATGTAAAACACAATCGATGTATTGTATGTTGAATTCTCACATCAAGGCCGTTCTTTTTGACCCATGCGCGAAGACCGTCCACATTCCAGGAGGTGATCTTCATGTTGGCCGCACGGCCATCCTTACTGGTCATCTTATCAGGAGGATCTTCGTACAGAATCGGAGCCTCTGGCTCCTTCCCCTTTTTCTCTTTCTTTGCAGGTTCTGTGACAGAAAGCTCAATGTTATCTGATGCAGTCTGTGAGGATGCAAACCTTTTTTTTTTTTTTTAAGTATTAAAACACTGTACCAGCTCCATTGCCAGTCTCCCCATCCACAGCTTCCTCATTCTTTTTGGCTCTTTTAGGCATGCTTACAGTTGTTTTAGGACCACACACACGTAAGAAACTGACAGCACACACACGAACACCTACAAGAGAGGACATGCGCAATGGAATGTGTGAATGTTCAATGCTTCGGGCGCTGCAAACATCTCACAACAAAGGCTGTTTAACTTATTTAGCTCGCACACAAGTGATTAAATCACTTACATAAAATGCGTGAACTGTATAAACCAAAACAAACGTGCTTGCGGTATGCAGGAATAATAAATTTATATATGTTAACCAAGTCTGTAAGTTGTCCAAAAGTGCGGCCTGAATGAATGAAACAATAGAACAAATGGCTCGCATGCTCTGCGTTTATAATAGACAAATTTGTATTGACCGCGTTGAAAACTCATTAGGTAGAAATTTGCACAATATGCATTTTATTATATACAAACAGCTCTTTCTTACCTAACACGTTAGCTGAGTTTATAGTGAAACCTCAATCTGTGCAGAACTATGAACTGCCCTGCACTGACGGAAGCCGAAGCTGGCAAGCTGCAGTGAGTCTGCATGAGGCGCATATTTCCCCATTAAGAGGTGTCCGAGTTATTGCCTGACTAAACGTGGTGTTTAAAAACGTTTTTATTAAAAAACAAATTATCATTTGTATATCAAATTATTGTCAGATATTAACTTTAAAATATATTTCTATAACTTTAACAATTTGTTAACACGAATAATCCCATCAATTTCATCCAGGCATTTAGTAAAAGCCACATTAGCTGTTGTTATGGTCCTACAACCAGCGAATGTGCGGTAAGAGTGGAGAAGCAGCGGAAAATAAGAGATAAAACAAGACAAAAATATATATTTATAATATATATTATATTATTATAATTAACCCAAAACATAACAATCCCACACGACAATTTAATAATTTAATCTATAAATGTTATTAATGATCAGGTTGTTTAAACCAGCAGCATGTGTCGCAGATCTCTTGGCAGCCAGACATAATAGATTTATTTTCATTTAATTGTAAAATGAAACTTGACATTTTAATGTCATAATGTATTAACATGGAAAATGGTAGACATTGTTTAATTCTGTTGCAGTATTTTGTGTATTGTCATCAAATGGTTCCTGTTTCATTCTCCCGGCAGAAACCATGACTGTGGTGATTGGATTTGAGGGTAGTGCTAATAAAATTGGTGTGGGTATCATCAGAGATGGGGAAGTTCTGTCAAACCCCAGGCGCACTTACATCACCCCACCTGGCCAAGGTGAGCTCATCTGATCTATCATTACTTCTAATGGACAGTGTCATCTTTACATATAAAAAGTCACCATGCTTTCATAGTACTATTTTTATATTGCTCTCTCATGATCTTCTCAGGGTTCCTACCTGGTGAGACAGCCAAACACCATCGTAGTGTGATTCTCACTGTGCTCCAGGAGGCACTAGATGAAGCAGGGCTGAAAGCTGCAGATATTGACTGTGTGGCGTACACTAAAGGTGAATATTTATTACTTGCCTTTAATACACTGTGCATTTTTCTACACTACTCCATTTATCAGTTATCTCCTGTTGTACAGGGCCTGGAATGGGAGCTCCTCTGGTAACAGTAGCGATTGTGGCCAGGACAGTCGCCCAGTTGTGGGGAAAGCCATTGTTGGGGGTAAACCACTGTATTGGACACATAGAGATGGGCCGTTTGATCACCAACTCCCAAAACCCCACTGTGCTGTATGTGAGCGGAGGAAATACTCAAGTAAGAATTGAAGAGTGAAGATTAAATAACATTTCAATCTAATTTTGTTTTTCAAAATTAGTCTACTATGATCAAGAGCAGACATATCAATATCCTTGAAATAATTATATTGGCCTTCTCACATTTCTTTTAACATAAATGAACATGAATTCTCTATATTGTTTCTACAGGTTATTGCATATTCTGAACGACGTTACAGAATATTTGGAGAAACTATTGATATTGCTGTGGGAAACTGCCTGGACCGGTTTGCAAGGGTCATCAAGGTCATTATTTGGTTAATAGCCTTGTATGTTTCCGTAGTTTTTTCTGTGGAGGATTTGTCTAAAAGTTTTTATGTCATTTTAAGATTACATTTTTTACCTGTATTCACAGATATCAAATGATCCCAGTCCTGGTTACAACATTGAACAGATGGCAAAGAAGTGAGTTTCCATGCACTTTAACATTTTAAATATCTAATTTGAGTTTGACATATGTTAATATACTGTATATATTCATTCTTCAGAGGCACCAAGTATATAGAGCTGCCGTATACAGTGAAGGGTATGGATGTGTCATTTTCTGGGATTTTGTCCTATATAGAGGTGAAATGAATGACTGGGAGATGCATATGTCTTTAAATTCAGTTTATACTTCTTTAAATTTTAATAATTACGTTCACATACAGGACGCTGCTCACAAACTGTTGAGTACAAGTCAATGTACGCCTGAGGATTTGTGTTTCTCTCTACAAGTATGTACTTGAACCTGTGCTTACTATGCTTCCAATAAGAAACATTAATTTGTGATTGTGAAAAGTGACTAAAAATAACACGTGATTGACAGGAGACTGTGTTCGCTATGCTGGTGGAGATCACAGAAAGAGCCATGGCTCACTGCAGCTCTCAGGAGGTTCTGATCGTCGGTGGAGTCGGCTGTAAGGGATTTTATGCTCATTTGTTAACATTCGTCTCATAGCAAAAACTGGGTCTCTGTATTGCAGTTTGTGTGAGTGTCTAAATGTGCGCTCTTTTGTAGGTAACCTGCGTCTGCAGGAGATGATGGGGGTCATGTGTAAGGAGAGAGGTGCACGACTTTTTGCCACAGATGAGAGGTGAGAAAGACAACCGCTGAAAGAACTCATGACAGCCGGTATCAATGGTTGTTAATCTCTTCATGTGATATTGTAGCTTTTGTATAGACAATGGAGCAATGATTGCACAGGCCGGATGGGAAATGTTCCGCTCGGGTCACGTCACAGAGCTTTCAGACTCCTGGATTACACAAAGGTAAACCAACTTCACAAATAGCCATCAAAAACATCAGTATCACACAGCAAGAAGCTACAAACATATTGTTAAAGGAATAGTTCACCCAAAAATAAACATTTGCTGAAAATGTACTCACCCTCAGGCCATCCAAGATGAGTTTGTTTCTTAATCGGAACAGATTTGAAGAAATGTACCATTACATGACTTGCTCACCAATAGATCATCTGCAGTGAATGGGTGCCGTCAGAATGAGAGATCTCTGTGCACTAGAACATCTAAGCATAAAAACAGTTTTTCCCCATGCCATCTCCATCATAAACAGCTAACACAGAAATGATAACCTGTTTTCTGTAATTCATTTATCCATTTCTAGCAATTGAAATTATGTAAATAGATATGCATATTTTTATTTATACAACTGTACATTAAATAATGCACAAATCTGTACATAAATCTTCTGTTCCAGATTTTACCACATTATTATTATTATGTTTTGTTTTTTTCTTTAGTCTTATTTAATTGTTCTTTCTGTTCTAATGTCATGTACTGTATGTATGTATGTATGTAAGTAAGAGCTCCTAAAAAAACAACAAATTCCTTGTGTGTTTGCACACACTTGGCGAATAAATCTAATTCTGATTCTGATTCAAACAGCTGATAAAAACATCACAATAATCCACAAGTAATCCACACTACTCCAGTCCATCAGTTAACATCTCGGGAAGAGAAAAGTTGTGTATATGTAAGAAACAAATCCATCATTAAGGCATTTTAACTTTAAACTGTCACTTCTGTAGTCCATAATAAATAATAATGTTTCCTCCAGTGAAAAAGTCCATCCCCTGTTGTCCTCTCACATCAAAATCCTCCTAAATATTATTTCGGACGATTTTGGGCTGCTTTCATTTTGAGATGATCTATTCCTTTAATAAAACACTTTGCTTTGTGCACATTCCTTTCAGTTAACAATGCTATTTTATCATTAGCCTGCTGATTTTTTTATTGCATGCCGTGATTAAATATAGACCCGAGATAAGAGTTGTTTTTCTTGTTTAGCTGTGACATGATCCTTCATTAATGGTCTATTGTGTTTTTCAGGTACAGAACAGATGAAGTGGAGGTCACATGGCGGGACTGATGTTTGGATTTGGTTATTAAGGAATTTCAGTGGCACTAAATGTCAAGTTGTACTCCTTGATCACATTATACAGCCTCATGAAATATTCAGTTTCATATCCCAGTTAAAGGCAGAATTGTCTAATATTTTTGTAAAAACACTGAATAAAAAATACCTATTGACCTAAAGCCTCAAATCATTTGATTACTTATTATGTGGTGAAGTGCTGAATAAAAGCAGTATTAAACTCACAATCACATTATGCATCACTAAAGGAACAGTTCATCCAAAAATTAAAATTTGCTAAAAACAACATACTTACCCTCAGGCTGTCCAGGATGTAGATGAGTTTGTTTCTTTGTGGGAACAGATTTGTAGAAATGTAGCATTACATCACTTGCTCATCAGTGGATCCTCTGCAGTGAATGGGTGCCGTCAGAATGAGAGACCAAACAGCTGATAAAAAAAACTTGACTGATGTTAATTGATGGACTGGAGTGGTGTGGATTACTTGTGATGTTTTTATCAACTATTTGGACTCTGACGGCACCCATTCACTGCAGAGGATCCATTGATGAGCAAGTGATGTAATGCTTTGAAATTAAGTACAGGTGGTAAATCAGAAAGATTATTCAAGACAACAGATTTTTAGGTATGTAACTGAAACACCCGGACTCTACATAGAAAAAGTGATTTGGAAAATGGATGAAAGATCGATTACTGAAATACTAAATATTCACATTTTTATTTTCTATAGATTTATACAAAAACCAAGAGACCATGAAATATTTTAACAAGTTGGTTCATTTTTATTATGCAACACTGTTTGATTAAATCTCTGAAAATCTTCCAGTGTAAATTATTTGTATGTTTCCGAAAAAAAAAAAAAATTAGGTCATACACAGCAACAAATTCCTATTAGGATTTATGACCGACATTGAATCTGGGTGAAATATATATATTAAAAAACAGCATTAAGACCAATAGACATTTGAAGGTGCTGCCATAACGTGCCAATGGCACCTCTGTAAACTTCATGAGAACAATTTATGTGGCATGAAAGGGATGATCACAGGAGGGAAGACTGATGAAGACATTCTGGATTTGGTTCTAAAAACGAGCTCAGTATTTAGAGAAAGGTATGACGTGTTCAACTACAGGTCAGAAAGTGCTTGACTTAACCACTCGCACACATGTAGGAACAAGGGAGGAATAAAAGAGATTTTTTTAACTGTAAAACTGCAGTTCACAAATAAAATTGCAGTTTTTTTTTTCTTTAAAAGAGACGATTCTCCACCATTAAAATGGCAGAGGTATGCAGAGGGACTCTGCGCCTGAGGCAGACTCTGTTGTAAGGCAACCGAGAAGTCCAAGACATCTATCTTCATAGGGGAACAAGTCCAAAGTGTCTCGGTAGAAATGTTGAGGGGATAAGAACCTGAGTGCGGGGTGTGTGTGTGTG